AAGGAGCACTGGCATTTCAAAATTACCAACCACTAGATTAAATGAGATTTGTTGTTTCGCTGTAGTAACCCATTATATTGTGCAAGGCTGATCTTTTCTTTTAGTGAAATTGAGATGTGTTAATTGAAATGGGATACTGCACCCTTTAATAATGCAGAGTGCGCCACAGGAAAAGCTCTATCATATAGTTACATCACTTTAAATCTTCTCAGTGCTATCAATACTGACCGTTTTGTTATTGAGGTGCTTATATCTGAACAGCATATGCTAAACTAAAATACTAGGTTACTATTACATAAGAGTATTGTTTATATTTGTATGAAACTAAACACATGGTGCAAGGTGGAATTATAGTTTCCTAAAACATTAGGCATATTTATGATCTAATCTAAAAAAATTTAATAGAATTTCAATATTCCATCTTCTGTACTACACTAGTCACATCAACTCTACACCTACCTTTGAAAAACTCTCACACATCACTAAGTTAAACTGGGAAACTCATTGCTAGAAGTGGTCATGGAGGCCAAAAAAAAAAAAAAAAAAAGCAAGATTCAAATAGGCTTGAAAGAATGAAGGATAGTTCAGGAGTTCTGACACTAGCTGGAGACCCCAGGAAACCTGAGTTTAAGTCCTTACTCCACTACATCCTGTATAGCAGGCATGTCCAAAGTCCGACCCGCGGGCCAATTGCGGCCCGTGTTCCGGTTTAATACGGCCCCACAGGTAATTTGGTAATATCTATCTTTTATGGCCCCCAACGAGATGAATACATTGTAAAATCTCAGTTAATGTCAGTTGGTCTAAATCAGTTATAAATATATTTGGACACAACAGATATACTTGGTGTTATGTTCCTGTTCATATTTTTTGAACTTAAAAGTTGACAGACAATGTTTATTACCAATAATATGTAATGTACTTTACAATGTTCCTGACATATTTCAGCTTCCTGGATTTTTTTTTCATCTGGCCTTCAGATATGAAAGGCAGAGTGATTTAACACCTGTTTAGATTTGTCATCCATGTGACGAAATGAAAAGTATGCCGTTTGCAATAAACTTTGCATAAAATAGTTAATTTGCATTTAATTTTAATGGTTCAAAGAATGTCAGGCAAAATGGTCGGCCCTCACGCATGTTCACTTCATCAAATCTGGCCCTCTCGGGTAATTTGGCAATATCTATCTTTTATGGCCCCCAATGAATCCATATGTATTGAGATGAATACATTGTAAAATCTCAGTTAAAGTCAGTTGGTCTAAATCAGTTATAAATATATTTGGACACAACATGTATACTTGGTGTTATGTTCCTGTTCATATTTTTTGAACTTAAAAGTTGACAGACAACCTTTATTACCAATAATATGTAATGTACTTTACAATGTTCCTGACATATATTTCAGCTTCCTGGATTTTTTTTTTCATCTGGCCTTCAGATATGAAAGGCAGAGTGATTTAACACCTGTTTAGATTTGTCATCCATGTGACGAAATGAAAAGTATGCCGTTTGCAATAAACTTTGCATAAAATAGTTAATTTGCATTTAATTTTAATGGTTCAAAGAATGTCGGGCAAAATGGTCGGCCCTCACGCATGTTCACTTCATCAAATCTGGCCCTCTTTGAAAAAAGTTTGGATACCCCTGCTGTACAGCCTTGGACTCTTTACTTCATCAAGGTGTTGTGGGGGAACTGAGGTACACAGAAGTAAGTACTTCCTTACTTCACAAGGGTGTTTGGAAGAGGAATACATTAAAATCTGTTAGGTGCACAGCTATCAGTGAGGAGGCCCATAAAAGCAGTTGAACTAAATAATTGCATGTAACATTTAGAAGGCTACACAGAGACAGATTCAGCAGTGTCCTGCCACAAGCATCCCTGTAACCTCCCCTATTATTTTTCTTTTCTCTCTTTCTCTCTTTCTCTCTTTCCAAGATATGACTCATTTTCAACTGTCAACTGGAGGATGGGCAGAGCTGAGGGTTTATTGGGAAGGAAGAGGTTTGGGGGCAGAGGAGGAGTGGATGATGCTGGAATGTGTTAATGGCTGCTATCAATTTGGTCTTTGATCTGTAGATAATTAGACAACTGGGGGACACTGCTGAATCTGCTAACTTAAGGTCATAAGCCTGTGTCTCCTCCAGTGCTCCTTCCAGGTTTCTTATTTTCACCATAAAAAGTAATATTCTTCCTGCTAATGCCTAGAACCTTCTCTGAAATTTTAGAATTGATTGGATATGGCATTAAAATGTTAATGTATTACAAACAAATCAACACCATCAAGTTAAGTGTAGGCCTTGCTTTGCACCCAACTGTCCAGTTAGGACAGTCAAAGCTGACAACGGTTTTGGAAGAGATATTAGACTTCATGCTTCCAAGTTTAAACCAATCTGTTACTGATTAAGAAGAGACTTGATGCGGAGGGCAGATTAACCCATATCTGTTGAATATGTAGTTTCTCAGATCTTCCACTGAATCACTCTCTGAGATAGCTGAAACAAAAGAAAGGGCTATGGAGCATGTTAAAGATGAACAAGATGGTTTATTAGGTGATAAGCTTTCATGGGCCAGACCAGAGGAAGTGGGTCTAGCCCACGAAAGCTAATCACCTAATAAACCACCTTGTTCATCTTTAACATGCTCCATAGTCCTCTCTTTTGTTTCAGCTAGACCAGACTAACACGGCTGCATCTCTATCACTATTCTCTGAGATTGGACCACTGAATTAATCAAATATGGCAAATTACTATATTCCTGAAATACTTTCTGTTGGAAATCGTGACTTCACATGCACATTAAGATATAAAAGTAATAATAATAATAATTAATAATAAATAATAATAATAATGCACTTCACATTTATTATCAGCAATGATATTGCACAGCACATAATGCCAATTCTGCCATGCCAAATGGTTAAGAAAAGAGAAGAATATACAGGCAATGCTGAATAGAAGATGCTACTTGTGGGTGCAGTCTAGAAACAGACTCATGAAGGAAGAAATTGCTTTCCTAGGACTGACCACTGTTCTGAAATCTAGCCCAGTACAGATTACACAGAGCAAGGTAGAAGAATCCCTGTCCTGGTGAACTGTGAAAACTTTCCCAGGAGCAGTTTTCCTCCAAATCTCAGGCAGTTTTTGCTTTACTCTCTGAAGCAGCATTACACTCCATCAATCATCATATAATTGAACCACAAATGTGTCAATCTTAAATCTAATCCCTTTAGATCCCACTCATCTCTTAGTTTCAGTGATAACCAGTGGAACTCAGAGACACAAAGTAACTATGCACTGTATGAAAAGAATAGGATTCTCTCTCAACTTTATACTGAAATTCAATACTTACGTGCTATTTTCGGCGTAGAAAAAAAGGGATAAATAGGAGCACTCTAAAAATATTGACTAGGTAAGTATAGACCTGTCATGTTCCCTTTTACATTTTTTTAAACATACTAGCCCCCCCCCCCCATCTTTTCATTGGCTCCTAAATCCAGAACCCTATCTATGTCTCACCATTTTCATTTACTGTTTCTGGATCTCCTCTATTTCTTTGGAGAAGAGAGGAGCACAGACACACACAACTGCCACTAATTCCTCATCAGTGCAGTTTTACTCAACTCTGGCCCAATATTACCCTTTTGTTTAATATCAGAACAAGAACCATTCTTCTTCATAAATCATTGAGCTAACTACATTGTCAGAGGTATCCCTGAGAAATTCGTCTAGTTTTTAAACACTCAGAACAAATTTCAAGTGTTATTTTTTCCAAAATGCTTTATTAAAATGGAAACTGCAGCTACTCACAGCTTCAGAAACCTGCAGCTCAAGGAAAAAGCGGTATAGAATGAAGACAGTTTTCTTGGGTGTTCTGTACTGGTGATTAGATTAAGGGCTATGTGAAAGACTTTATCTTTCCATGCTGGATGCACTATCAAATTTCATGACAGTCTGGGGGTATCATATATTTACATATTATAATCATGAGAAAACAGTGTCTAAATTGTTTTCACCCGTGGGTAGAGCAAGACCAAATGTATTGAACCCAGAGTTAAAGATAGAATCAGTTATCAGAGAAGGAAGCTGTAGTGGAAAGTTCTTACATTGGTCTAGACCTAGTTCACAACAGGCACTGTCATCAGTCACACAACAATCCGCCCGTCAGTCAATCCAGAACGACCTTCTCTCCGTACTCCCACGGATCATCAGAGCCACCGTGCTCATCTGCAGCCGCATATAAATCAGCACAGCCTAGACTGGGCAAGCGACCCCCATCCCATTACGCTGGATGTGTTGCACTGGCAGCGCTTTGCCACCCGCCCGAGCGCTATGCGCATTAGAGCACGAAGACCTGCTCTCGGAAACCTGCACAGGCACGGGGAGGAATTGGTAGCACTAGAGAAATCTGATCCAAATCAGAGAGCCCGCAGTTCCCCAGCCCGTGTCAGCGCCAGCACAGGCAGCGGACCGATCATGGCAAGCCACGCGTGGCCCCACACCGGCATGGGCAGCACCCCGCCTTCCTAACGCACCCAACCAGGGAGATTGTGGGGCAGGTTTTCATGTCATCTTGTCCATCAAGCTCCTGTTTACGAGCGACCGTCTCCTTTGGGTCCAAGGGAAATAAATGCGATTAAGAGATTAAGAGGGAAGGGAGTAAAAAAAAAAAAAAAAAAACCCACAACCACATCCTGACTACTCCACAATGCCCGCCCGTGAATCTGCAGCACTTTAACCCTCTTCCAGCTCGGCTCCATGGCCCCAAGCCTCCTGCCACCCGGGGCGAGGAAGCGGCGCTGGGATTAATTCGCCAGTCCAGCTGCAAATCGCACACGATGGGGTAAGGAAGCCAGGAGGGGTAAAATTAAACCCCTCACAACCGCTGAGCCGAGGACAGCTGGCCGGTCCCTCGCTCTCCCGGAGCTAGATGCTTCCCGCCCGGGAGAGGGGAAATGCAGCTGGTGCCGGTTCCCCCAGCCTCCAGCCAGGGCTGCTTACCTCGATCCAGCGCTGCGCCTCGGCAAAGGCTGGCTCAGGACGGGCAGGGCCCTGCTTCGG